ATACATGCAAATCGGACGTTACTTTTTGTGGCGACTATACATATAAATTCGTATTTATATGTAAATCGTAAAATCATATCATTATGCAAATCACGTTGTAAACCATATCGATATGGTCGGAAAACACTGTATTTGCAGAAAACTGGACATCGGAATCATGACGGTAATCGAGAAAATTTGGTTTTAGAGCGAGTACTTCTGCTGGTAATTCCAGTGTAATTGTTAAGAGAATTTGATTATACTTTAAATGATGTGAATTAAGTGAACTATTCGGTCTTTATATAATAATGATCGCTTTCTTGATTTTAATTTATAGAATGAATTTGTTCTGACATTATAATAAAGAATCCTTAAAATGCGCTGAAGAGCTATAAATATTTTGAGAATTACATCTACTAAAATCCAACACCCAACGTATTGCCAAACTGTAGCAAAAATAAAGTACAATTAAAATATCAATTTTAAATTGTGACCAAACAAAACTTTAATCGTATTATCATATAATTTAGGATCTTTAGAGGTACAATGACTTTTATCAAGACTGTAAAAAATCAAAAAACGTAAGGTCTTTTAACCTCTTGTCATAAAGTTATTGAGAAATCTTTTCAAGCATGAGTAATCTATAAATTCTCTTGTGTTATAAAAATTGAACCAGCCTTTATTTACATCGAATTGCTTTTATTATCCACAACGTCAACAGAATCTATACGCAATTTGGAATCCATCCTAATGGATTACACGTTATCTTCTGGACAATTCATCTTTATAAAAACCTTCGTCGGCTTAATCATTAAAAAAAAATATTATTTGACGATACATAGCGATATCGATTAATGATACCCGACGAATGATGAAAAGTTTCGTCATTAAGAAATGACGAAACTTTTGTCAATTAATTTTGTTTTGACGAATTGATGAAACTTATGAGTTTCTTTATGTAAGCAAATTATGATAAGTTAAATACATGTATATGTAATATAGAGCTAAATAGTTGATTCAGTATGAAGTTGAAACTATCTGAAATATCTCAACTGTTATATTTGATGATACTTTTGATAAGAAAATTTCAGCAGCAAATGAATTATGTGAAAAGTAATGTTATACATATACATGCATGATTAAACTTGAATGAAATCAAATACAGGTGAATTAAATGAAATTTTTGACAAATTATTTCTTATTATTAAATACATATAGTGTTTTTTATTACATGTATTTCTTATATACAAGTTGATCGTTTTGCAACCCATAAATAAAACTCACGTGAAGGACTTTATTGTCCGCATTAATTCACGTCTTTTTGCATTATCCATCTCAGAGATGGAACAATCCACTATTATATTACTGGCATGAAGTTGAACATTCTATGCTAATTAAGTAAACTCACAGGCCTAACAATCTCAACTGTCTGATACAATGTAAAAAAATTAGAATCAACAGGAACTAATATATTAATCTTTCTAATTGAGTTATTTTATTAGATACAGGTATATAAACAAAAGAATTATTAAAAGAATAACTATTATGGATAATAATAATAAAAAAGTTTATGATTAATATATTTTCGCGAATAAGCTCATCTGCACGTTATTTCGAGTACGCATATATGCATTATTTTGAGACAAAGATCAATTTTCTGATAAAAACTTGATTTTATAACGCCATGTGTGTTATACATCTATATGTACAGTATATGGACATCAAAGATAAAAAGAAAAATCATATAAATATACTTTTGAAAGTATGTATGATTTTCATTATTTATTTTTTTCACTACTATTTATGTTATTTTACTTTATATTTTCGTTAAGTCCCTATTGTTTTCTTGTATTATATACGATGAATACCCATGATATAAAAAGGGATCGTTATCATTTTGTTTGTTTTGTGTGCATGTTTTTGCTTTATTTACAAGTGAACATGAGCACAAAACGAAGTTATATTATTGAGTTTAAACTTGAGATGATTACATATGCAGAAGCTATATCCAACTATCGTGCTTCTTTATATTACAAATTCGACCAGAAATCAGTTCAAGAATGACAATAGCAAAAAAGAATTTAAGACTGTGTCAAGGTCGAATTTATATTAAAATAAATGCAATTTATTAAGTTTATCAATGTTTGTATATTGAAGATATGTATTTATGGGCATCTGAGGTGTTTAGTAATATCCAAAGTTAGATAAAATAAGCTTTTTCTTTTCTATGTTTTGAAATATCTAAGGCTGTATTATTTCTTTCATTCAAACGGTGAAAAATAAATATTAGGGTAACTTTAGCTGGTGTTATTTCAAATTGGTATTTTCACCGGTAAGCCAAACATAATTTGTAAGTATGTCCTATTATTAACATTGATAATATTTATACATATTCTCTAATCTTTTATTTAAAGTCACTGGATCACATTTTTGCATGTGTTGATCTTTAACTCAAATGGTGGTAAATCACGTGACTTAAAATCAGTTTCGAAATGAAAAAAATTTAAATTTTTTGGTGGGATCATCGATTTTACATTCAGTTCCTTCGGGACGCGATATCTCGGCATCCGGTGGTCCGAAACATATGACATAAAATCGCATGGATCGACCGAGATATTGCGCCCCGAAGGAACTGATCAATTTTATGATGTCGATTCCAAGTTGGCAATCAATTTTTATCAATTTGTTGGTAATTGATAGCTAACTAATTGGACGCTTCCATTAAACAATTGACAATGAGATTGCTTGACAACAAAATGTCAACATTTTTCAAAGTCCAGTAATGATTTTCTTGTCATGAATTCAAACTCATATCCATTTTTTTAAAAAAAGTAATATATAAAACCAAGATCTCTCAGAAAGAGATCAAAATGTACCAAATTGACTCCCAACATCAACAAATCACAGTTTAATGATCATTTGTGAAATATATTAGAAAATCATGTCAAAAAATTCATTTAAATACAACAAATCTTTTCCAAATTCTACACGGAATTGAAAAGAAATGTAAGGCAATTTCTAAGGGGATTCTTAGACAATCAATCAAAAAAAGGCTATTACACATTCAGACATATTTAAAAAATAATGTAAGTCAACAAGCTATCAAATATTGGCAATCACATATAATAATTGCTAAATTAGTAAAGTGACTTTCTTCAGCCGAGTATAAGGAGGTGCGCGTTATTTCGGGGGCGCCCACGGAGGTTATTTTGAAACCATGTATGCAATTTTTAAAGGGTACGATTTTCGAAGTAACGTCATGGACATTATTTCACGAAAATATGGTAACGCAAATTTAGTTGATATATATATATCGATATGTACATGTACAGTACATGTACATGTATACTGTTGTACCACAATGCCTTCTAATCAAGAAAAAGATGTAACAATTTTTCAAAAGATTTTTGAAATTCAATAGAGAAAATTTTTTTGTGTTAATATATCAATTATTTATTTTAATAAATTTTGGGAATAAATATATCTTCTAAGAAATTTGTTAGTAGAAATGCTTCAGTACGCCATAATACCCGGCTCTCCTTTATGTATTCACTTTTAAATAAATAAAAGATCAAAACAAAAATCCCCACTTTTGGAAACAAAAAGCATTGAAACTATATGAAATATAATATTTTGTAAGGTTTTCCTTTCTAAATACTAAGATATTACTTTTTTATTTCTATTCATGTGATGCAAAACTTTTGGTAGAAGCTGTATATAACTATGATTCTAAAATTAAATCGTCTGCGTCGACAAATTCTCCCCTGTTCTATCCAAAATGATAATATCATTCTCGATAATTATCTCCATTCTTTAATGGTCAATTTTTATCCGCAATTATATCATACGTATAAATTGAAACTTTAAATGCAACGACACTCCTCTGAACTTTATTTGCAATAATTTTAAAGGTTTAAGATTAAATGTTGTTGAAATCACACGTAGAAGCACAAATAAAAAACACAGTATTAACATAGGAAGTTGTTATAATAATTTAATTGGAAAATATTCTTTGGTTAATTATAAATGCTTGTTGTTCTCGAAATTGCGAGAAAAATGATCTATAATTGATCACGTTAATCAATTGCATGTTTTGTCAGTTTTGTGTATAATTTACAATGGAAAATCTACTTGATCTCTTATAAATGTTTAAGACAGAAAGAGCAACAGTAATTTGAAAAAAAAGTTGAAATGCAATTCTTGATACGTATTTGGAGAACTAATACGCATGAATTAAAAATGTAACTACATGTTCTGTACTTAGAATTCCGCATAACGTAAACGAAAACTCTCTCAAACATATTAAGCTATATTAGTTGTATTGATTATTGCACCTTAAAATCCAATTATCTAAAGATTATGAACGTAGTATTTTTTTATTTAACCAATCTAGCAGTTTGTATATTTTATCACACATCTGTATCTGCATCTGTATCTGTGAATTACATAACTGATTTAGTATTCTCTCTCACTACATATCAAGAATGTCCGCCAAGTTTCAAAAACACTTGCCTTACATATGATGAATCACAACTTACAATTCTCTTTTACTAATGAGCATTATTATCTTTGATCAACATTCCCTCTCACTACATACCAAGAATGTCCCCCTGAGTTATTCATATACATTGATATGCATCTTTGATTTTTCAATTTAGAATTCTTTTTTATCGATGTGCATCTTTGAAAGTTTGCTAAAAGAATTAACATGTACATGCATATTTCTGCCACAAATTGCACAGAATTCGTGCTGCATAATTCACGTACATAATTTACTTTTAACGTACATAAAACATTGCCCCTTCCTGTTACATGTACATGTACAACAGTGCAAATGTAATATGCATTAAAATGTATGATTATTGCTTTGATCGAATTAAAGGGACAAAAAAAAAATATAAAATGCAACATAATTATTTTGCTTTTTTTTATATAAGAAACGCTATTCACTCACTACCCATCTATTCATACAATTCATTCTTAAAACGTAGTTAGTTTATCACTATTTCTCCAGTCTAAAAATGAATCTTTTCAAATTTCTTACCATTACGATTTTTATGGTAATTGATTCTGGTCTTCAATATCTCTTATTCACAACAGAAAACGCTAAAATTAATATTTCCATCTTGCTTTTTATAGGTGTGTTTCTTGTGGGATATCATTAGCGCCAAACCATTACCCTTGCTATCCGATGATACGGTTCTGCTCTATCGAGAACCTTATTTTGGTGGAGATGTAATATCAATCACACTTGATCCTACTACGTGTACTCAAGTACCTCCCGAGTACGTGAGTTTCAGCTCGGCCAGAGTCTTAAATGGCAAATGTGCATTATTTTATCGAGAATTTGGTTGCCAAGATCAACCTCATGAAGTTTGCAGAGAAGATCCATTACTTCCTCCCGATTATTTACATCAAATCAGGTCAATTCAACTAGAACTATTAGATCTGTAAATGCTATAATAACGAAGATTTTTTTCCGACTAATAATGATACATAATATCCCAAATGCAATGTTTTTTACTATTTTTTTCGATTGTATTGAAAATTACATGTACACACCCTATTCATGGGATACAAAATTTAATGTCTAGAATTTGACACAATTTTAATAAACATATTTAATTCTCTGATCCGTGCTCACCAGAGCCTTAGTGCCACTTTCTGAAAGATGTTCCTTAACTTTAGTGCCGTTTCCAGATTAGTATAATGAGATGCCTTCCATAAACTGATAATAACATGTCTTGCTCTTTTATTCTCAGTTACATCGATTTCGCAGCATAATCGATGAACTAGACTATACCTTTCTTTTGTGGAAGTGTCGCTGCTGGTTTGAGGGTATAGATTTTGTACCAACTTTACGAATACCTTTTCCTGCCTTTCTTTTTCTTTTGGCGTGTCTCATGAATTACGTTGTACCTTTTTCTAGATTAACAATTCTGAGATGTAAAACATGCTTGCATACCAATAACACGAGTGACTTTTATAGGTTTGTAAAGAAATTTTCCTGCGCGTTTATGAGATGAGCCAATATTTAACGCGATACAAGTAATGCCAATTTTTAGGTGCTTTGTTAGCTATAATACCATAAAATTAGTTTAGTAGCGTATGTAATAAGAATAATATTTATTAAATTGAAACTTATCTACGTATTAAACGAGAGATTGTTTCTAAATTAAAATTCCATTCACCACAGTAATTACTTCAAATTCAGCAAATCAAAAAACGGTTAGATCCTTATAATAATCAAATTTAAAAAGTTCGATAAATTTGGGACGACCTCCAACAGTCTGATTTGAGAAAAATAGAATCATTCGGTTCGTATAAATAAGATAAGTTGAATGTTCTTATGTTGACTGTTGAACGTCGAGATATCGCGTCCAAGGTTACCGATTTTTTAATTCGGTTTCTTTAAAATTCAATTTCAATTGATTCTTCTGATAATGCATGCCTTTTATCATAATAATCAGTTAGTATAGATCATTCATATGTAAATTATAAATTATATCATAAATTCATATGCCTAATTGTTACCATGTCATGAACTGTTAAAAATCTCACAACATTTTAATCATCATCATTCATTTGTACATGCAAAAATCACACAAATCGCGTTATAAACCACCATATGGATTCTGCAAATTGGACACCGCAATTCAAACATGCTCAACCATGAAAAATTTTTATTTGATTAAACAGTTATGAGTTACTCTATAAAATGACTCTCTTTAAGAGTTTTTGATCACTAATCATATAAGATATAGTCGTCGATTGAAATGCACAAAAAGTTATATGCACCCTTCTCATAAATTTAACAAATTGAGAACAATTTTTTAATAGTTGCTATCTTAGAAACTAACAAAATATTAAATATAAATGTATTTCTATTGTTACATAGCTCTCATGCTTAGCTATAATATATTAGAGTTTGATCCACGTTAAATCTGTATGAATGCTGTCATAGAGCTTTCAAAAAAAATATTTTATGGATTCTCAAATAGATTTTCTGTTTATATTAAACAAAATTTAGGAATTATTATATTCAATAAAATATAGGCAAAATTTTGAGATAATACAATTTTTCAATAAATTTTTTGTTCTGTTGCATTAATTCAATAATTTGATTGTTTCCAAAAATTATGGGGCTATGTCGCTGTCCCTCTGACTGAGTATTTTTCAGCACAATCGGTCACGTAATACAGGTACATGTACATGTATTACGAATTTTCAGCATGACTTTCAGCACGATCGTTCCCTTAATAATGTAGATTTCTCAGACAAATAAATCACATAATTTCCAGCGCGATCCAATGCATATTGCAGCATGACTTTCAGCGCAATCCTTTCTCTAGTTATAGTTTATTATTTGTTTGATTTATTTTCATCGATATAATAGGATTGTTGTTAATAGACTAAAGTGGTATTCTTTAAAATAGTTACCGTAAACTGCTGACCAATGTATCCGGGTATTTCCAATGTCCATTTTAGTACCCCGGGTATCCAAGTAAGGGGGATACTTTGTATTGATGGGGGGTATATTCCGTGAGTTGTACCTCCAAAGAAATTGCTATCAATTTATTTTTTCTGGGGACCGTTGCAAATGTAGACGTAATCTGCGTGTTTGTACTTCGATCAAACACATTTTTTATTACACGCACATGAATTAATAATTGACGCGATTTTGCAATTTTTCACTTTAACACGTAAAAATTTCATTTTCGACTTCAAATTTTTAAAAAATATCCCCATACAAAAGAACCACTCCAAAACGGTCTCGTTCTATGAAAAAAACTCATGGTTATTCATTATTTGGAACGCGTTAACAATGTGCGTGGAACAGCTAAAAGATTCGGTATTGAACCCAAGCAAGTTCGCAAGTGGAGAAGTAAAAAAAAAGAACTATTTGATGCCGCACCTTATGTTCTAACACTTAACCATGGTCACCAAGCACAGTATCCATTGCTCGAAGAAAGACTTGTTGCATGGATTATGGAACTACGTGATAGACAAAATGTCATAACATGAAATACAATGATATGAAAAGCAAAATCAATCTTGCAAACTGATGAATTTAAATACCTTTATCCTGATATTACCAACTTCAAATTCTCTGATTGATGGTTAAGTGGATTTTTACATCGTCATGATCTTTCGAATTGTCATCGGACAACTGTTGTGCAACATCTCCCTGAAAATCTTATTGAAAAACAAAGTGAATTTTTAAGCTTTGTTTTGTTAAAACATCATCAACACAAGTTTCCAATAGAATATATTGGAAATATGGATGAAACATCATTATCTTTTGATCTTCCTTGTGCTACAACTCTTGAGCAACGTGGTGCCAAGACTATTGGTATTCAAACAACAGGACATGAAAGAGCTTGTTTTACCGTAATTCTTGAATGTCTTGCTGATGGTATGAAACTTCCTCCTACATGCATCTTCAAACTAAAAAACATCTCACGTGAAAGCTTTCCTCAAGGTGTTATTATCCGTGCTAATGAAAAAGGATGATGTAATGAACAAGAAATGAATTATTGGATTGATACTGTTTGGACTAAATGTAACAAAATGAGAAATTCAAAGTCTTTTCTTGTTTTGGATTCATTTAGAGACCATTTGGTTGAATCAGTTAAACAAAATTTCAAAGAAAAGAATACTTATCTTGCAGTCATTCCAGGTGGATTGACTAGCAAACTTCAACCACTAGATGTTGCGATTAACAAAAATTTCAAACAAAAGGTAAATTAATATTTTTATTATTATATAAAATATATTTATTAAAGTTTTAATTTATTAGGTGCATGATTGTTACAATGAATGGATGGCCAATGAAGTTCATCAATCAACACCAGCCGGATGCATTCGAAAACCATCATATGTAACAGTTGAACAATGGGTTAAAAAATCATGGAATGATATTGATCCTAACTTAATTAGAAAAGCATTCAAATGTTGTGGCGTTTCGGTAAGAATGGATGGAACAGAAGATGAATTGGTATTTGATTATGAAGGTTTAGTAGAAGAAGATAGTGATGAAAGTTTGGTAGTTGATTCTATTAATGGAGAGACATATAATGAAGTAGAAGATTATGAAAATGATTAGATAAATGAAGAATAGTTAGAGATATTAAATAAATAAAATTTTGTTGTTATATCCAGGTATTCCCATGTGATAGGGGGTATAATTCTTTGAATTATACTATGTAAAATATCCGGGTCTAAATCAAAAATTGGACCCAAAAATCATTACAGGATATAAATCATAGGGGGATCTATTAGTCAGCAGTTTACGGTAAAATGTATATAAGGATGACCCTTGGGCTATCAAAAAAAAAGAATAATAAGAAATAAATTGAAATGTTTTTCTCACAGAAATAATTGCGTACAGTTCTTCCCAAGTAATAAAATCCTTTATCGTAATCGTAATCATATCGTGTTGGTTAGGTTTCAATATTTTTTATTAATATGTAGGTTTTGAACATCCATCAAGTTAAATGGTTTAAATTTCATCAATTAGGGCAAATAATATCTTAAGCATGCATATGTGAATCATTTAAAATTCTGTGCTCGACTAATTATTTTAATTTCACTGATAAAAATCTGATTATAGTAAAATGATCAATGTAGCTCGAGTGCATGGGGTTTATATAAATGAGTGAATTCGCGGAAAATAAAACAATTCATTGTAAAAAGAAACACAATTAAATCTTTAATATTGTGCGTTTCGTATGTAGCAAATCAAATTTTCTCATTATTTTGCACATTAATATGCTCTTAAAGCTAAATTTAATTTTAATGGTTTAAATCATACGTATCAATTCTTGTCTATGAATAATGACACAAATACAAATAGACTAAATTCAATAATAATTTAATTGAAGTACTCTTTTTTAATGACAGATATTATTATTGTTATTGTTATTTGATCCAATACATTCGCAGAGATGATTAAAATTAGAATATTTACTGGTTAATATTCTCTTTCATCAGTTAATTGGTATTCTTAAAGTCATCTTCGACTGGATTATACAAACAGATACTCATAGGACTTAATTAATATTCACTTAAATTAATTAAATGTTAATGTGATATAATTTAAATAAAAATAATACACCTTTTGTCAGTTACAGTTGAAATTGATTTTAAAGTAAAGATTCGATTGTTTTAAACTGCATTTGAATGTTTTGTCTATTTTCATAGGGATATTTTTTCACGATTTTCTCTTTTATCTAGCTTCAGCTTTTCTAATTGCAGACATCCTTTAATCTGTCGCAGAAACTCTTTTTGAATGAAGCACATGTGCTCAAAATATAAATCATTCTGTTTCCAAGTCTTATCATCATCTGTGTCGTCGTCATCTTTATCGCTATCGGAGATAGAGTAGATATAGTCACCAAGTTCCTTGGCAATTGGTCTGTTTTCTGTAATATGGTCTAAACATTTTCCATAAT